AAAGTGCGCAAGTCTCTCATGTTCTGTCATCTCCGATAACATCTCATCTCTAAGTGACCAGATCCTCTAAACAAACAAACGCAACAGTCTTGCATCGATAAAAATATTGTTCGTGCCCACAAGCCCTGAAATGTATGTGTTGGTGTGTGCGCGTGCGTGCGCGAGTGTTTGAAACTAATATGTGTTTTCGTGTGGGAATGTTTATGAGAATTAAAATACAAAACTATGAACACGCAGGAATACCAACAAAAAATATTAATGCATGGCAGAAAAAAGTTTACAATAATATACATGTACATAATATATATATATATATATATATATATATATATATATATATATATATATATATGTTGGAAGGAGACCATATTTTAAACAGTATTGTATGAATTCTACCGAATGAATTCTATGAATTGTATGAATTGTTGGCAATATCAATTTAAAGTTCTTCTTTTCAATTTTTCTTACTAGAATTTTCTGGTAACTGTTCAATTTGTTAAACAATTTCCTTATCTGCTTGATGAATTTGGATAACAACAGTTTCATTAAATTTTCGTGATGAACTTGGATAATTCTATTTTTAACAAATTGAACAATTTCCAGAAAATTCTAGTAACGAAAATTGAAGACACACTTTAAATTGATTAATGCCAACAATTCGGTAGAATTCATGTAATACTATATATATATATATATACATATATATATATATACATATCTATATATACATATATATATACATATACATATATATATATATATATATACGAATTTGAATATAATCAATAATTTATATTTTATATCTACGTAGTACACACATTTTCTATGTGTACACAAATTGACGAGTGTACGTCGTTGATAAATCGTACGTAGTTATCTTTGAGATATAACGATGCACAAAGGATGTACACGCACAACACACACACACACATGTATATTAAGCATATCACAATTATGTTTATATATTATATATATACATAGTGTTAACCTATATATATGTATTTATATATATATTTGTGTGTGTGTGTGTGTGTGTGTGTGGTGTGTGTGTGTGTGTGTGTGTGTAAATGACAAAATATTGTTTTATATATATAAATATGTTATTGATGAAAATCACAGCATGTTCCGCGTTAGTTAGCTTCCTGCTTAAATATTCGATTTTTCTAACGGTTGATCCTAAATCATTGTAAAGTTTTTTGAGTTTAAAACCAAAATTTCTATTTATTTTAAGCATGATAGAAGAGAAAAGCTTTTTTCGGTATTCCTATACCATCTTCGGTGTTCGAATTGGTACGTTTGTGTGTCCAGATACTCAAATAGTAGATATACTATGTTTTTACAATTTTAAACCTTTCTCTGTTTAAAGTGAATACTTAACGGTCATTTAATAAGTTATTACGATCTTCAACTTTGTGCAATATGATTAACAATAATTCCTCGGTTTCCAAATTTATTAGTGGGAAGGATTCCAATTGCCCGTTGTTGAATATTTATTATCGGATGTCTTTGTTTGATTAATTGATGATAACTAATTTCGACCATTCCGGCGGTTATAACAATAAGTTGTGTATTTAACATAAAAGGCGTTTGGCTGCATGGCTGAAAAGTGAAATTCTGGAAATTATTTGAAGTAGAGTGGTGCAGTGTAGTGTTAAATATTCCATAGTTCACAGCTTGTTTTTCATTTTCGTCATCATTGTTAAATTTCATGGTGATGACTATGATAAAAAAAAAGATGCTGATAAAAATGATGAGGATGATGATAACGATGTTGATGATGATGAAGATAATGATGATGATGATGAAGGAGGAGATGATAGTGGACTCCAAACTTTACGATGGGTAGATGATATTTGAGATTTGATGAAGTTAGCGAATTTATTCTTGTTCGTTCTTCATTCTTTTACGTCATTTTTTCATTTTATAATTTGAGCTGTTGTGTTAATGTAGAAGTATAGTAAACAAAATGCCATTTGTGATTTGGTGTTGAATGTCTCCTATTTGCTTCCTTTACATTCGTCACTAGTCCAGTTAGGAAATTATGATATATTTTGATATAAAACTACGTTACAGACTCTCAGATGTCTCTTGAGAACTTGGTGGAAAGATTCGGCCACTGGATGATAATGGTGTAGATGACGATCGAGATTGCCGATGATTGTAAAAATAACACAAATAATGAAATCATGATGAACGATGGTGATGTTGGTGATGATGATAACAACGATGATGACCTAAAGATGATATTGACGATGATAAAAAAATGAAAGAAGAAGAAGGAGTGAGTGAATGATGGAGATGTGTAAGCAGAACTCCTACCCCCCACTACCACATCTCTTTCATGCTTCACATGCATTCACTAATTATTCGTAGTGATTAATTTGCATATAATTCGTTATATATATATATATATATATATATATATATATATATATATATTTGAGCATTTGGCCCTATACACAACGTATCAATTCGAACACCGAAGGTGGTATAGGATTACCGAAAAAAGCTTTTCTGTTCTATCATGCTTAAATAAAATTAAAATTTTGGTTTTGAACTCAAGAAACTTGACAATGGTTTATGATCTACCGTTAGAAAAATCGAAAAGTTAGATAGGAAGATAGGAAGCTAACTTACGCGGAACATTCTGTGATTTTCATCATTAATATATATATATATATATATATAGCATATATAGCACATATATCATAAGTTTGCACTGTAGGATGGATTGTACTTTTATGACTGCATCATATATATATTAATATATGATAGCTATACACAGAAATATATAAATGTATATTTATATATACACAAGACTGCATTATATTCACAACTATACGTAGCGACAAACTATTTTTTTAATTTCCGAAACAATGTTGAACGATTGTTTTTGAAAGTATTTTATCGTGTTTTTAAGCCGTGTGTTTAACAGACTTTTTAGAAAAACTTTAAAATTTTAAATTTAGTTTATAAGATCTGTTTGTGCATGTTAGTTCGTCTTCAAGTGTAATTCCAATTTCTAATTGTTCGTTTGGATGGGCGCTTTGTAAGGCTGCTGATGTTCACGTTATGATGCATGTGCGCTCGTAAGAAAGCATCTTGAACGTACGCCATGATGGATGAGTTTGTGTTTTCATCTTTTGATGATGATTAATGTTGAATGAGTGAATGAAAGTAGAGCAGATGGAAGCTGCTTGTTTCTTGTGGTTCCCACTCACATTTACATCAACATCTTTTCATTTAAATTTTGAGGTTCACTTTTCATTTCTCAAATTTTTCATTTTTAATTAACAAAGAAAAGTGTTTAAACGTAGTTTCTTGAGTAACCGGCACGCACATGTACAAAGAACAAATAACTTTTTTAGATAATTCATTTCAATGTGGCTGGATCGGTCTCAGCATTTTAAACAAAAAAATCGACTTTATCGAGATCATTTTTATTTTGTAATTTATGTAACCGTTACCGTTATGTCATTAGTTGTTAACATATTTTTTATGTTATAGATATTTTGTTGTAAATATATTACAATATGTATATTCACACTACCACCCAAGACATTACAAAACACCGAAGTAAAAAATTTTCCAGTCCAATTCTAACTAGCATGCAAAACATTCAACATCAGCAAATATAATAAACGACACCAGCCATAATAAGCATAAAATACCAAAAACGAATTGTGACAGGTACAAGAAAGCCTCAGAGCGCATCAATCAATCATTTCTCGACCTCAGACACGCCCATCAAGTCATCAACCAATCGTAAATTCTCTCAGACCCTTGTAGACCTATTTAAAAGTTTTAAGCTCCATCAGGTCCGCTGGGGAATTCCAAAAGGTTTGTTTATGTTGGGTTTCTATGAATAAATTGTTGTGCTCTATGAATAGAATAATGTGTCATTTGTGTCATTATAAATGCATTATCGGTCGTTGCAAATTCTGACACTTAACGACCACGGTATTTCAAACGTGTCACAACTGTGTAGGTACGTTACTTTCAATAAAAACAATGCTGTTTAATTTATGGTCAATTTCAAAAAGTTTCACACTCACTATACAATTGAACAAATTTAATTGAAAACAATTTTTTGTAAGTTATTTGCAATTTATAATTGAAATTTAAAGTATTGTAAATATATAGACAACAAGATAATTTAATGGTTAAATTGGTAGGAATATTGGGGACCTGACCTGAATGCAATAAGATTTTAGTTTATAATTTATAATTCTGAATTACCGTTGCGGAAACTACACCACTTAAATGACATAACTCAACTTTCGAAATTACTGATGACAAGATTTTTTGTTGAAGATGCATTAATGAATAGTTCAGAATAATGCCGAGCCGAGCCGAACAGACAGACAACCTAATCACTAATCAATTTTTAATTGATTTTAATTGGAAAATTTATTTTAAAATATTTCAAAGTTGTATAAAAATTATTTTTGAAATTGTTCTATTAATTTATTTTTCTAATTAAATATGAATAACACTATTGAGATTAGATGGATGAAAGAAAGTATGAAAGTAAATATAGGAATCGTAAGCATATAGTTAATTAGTGAACAATTTTTTTTATAATACGAGTTAATTCAGAGGTATAGAGTATAAATAGAAGAGGACCAAAGAACAGACATATTAAAAATACATACTACCTCTAATAAACACATGCGCACGTACAAATATCACACGAGGAAGCACAATCGAATGCACAAACTCACATGCAAATGAACAAGATTCACATGTTAGCATCACACAAATAAATTTACTCCTCTATGTAATTGATTTGTTTTTCAGACTAACTTGCCAACCCAGATTTGTATGAACGAGCCGTTTCAATAATTTCCATCTACATGTTCAGTTCACCTAAGCTACGAGAACAACAACAATTGCCGTTATTGTATTTGTAGTTCAAATTATTTATTGCTTCTGCTACTTGCTATGTTATATAAGATATTTTTTAACAGTATTTCTCAGTCACAAACCACGCGGCGCATAAAAATACCTGCGAATGAAAGCACCATTCATGGCAATTGTCGGTCCAAAATAATTGAAACAAAATGAGATTTATTGAAATCTGAGACGAAATCGAAAAAAAATCTCGGTAGAGGGGAGAAGAAAACCTGGAAAAGAACTTACTTTGAAAAAAGAGCAGTGTTAATGATGATTATGCGATCTTGTTAGTGATCGCACTGCCGAGTAGGACGTTTGCAAATGGTTCGAGATGATTTTGTATGATAACAATGACATCCGACAGTTTTTACCACTACTACTTCGGCTAATACTTCTGCTACAACTAACCTCTGCTACTACATAGTATTAATACAGTTATTATGGCTACCCGTGGCCACTATTACTACTACTACGGTTGCTGCTGCTGATATAACTACAACTATTTCATACCACAGACAACAATTACCACTACTTTTGCTTTCACGATTGCTATCACAACTGTTACTACAACTATCCATACAACCATTAAGTGGCACTGTCACTTCTACTACATTTTATGTTACTTATCCTGCTGCATAACTATTTAACTACTACTGCAACTTTTGCAACTCTTGATCTGCAACAACCAAATTAAATATCACTACTGCAGCAAAAATTATTACCACCACAGCCTCTACGATTGCAACAACGAAGACTACTACAACCTCTACAACTGCTACAAGGAACGCTACTACAACCTCTACAACTGCTACACACTAATACAATGACAATTCAGTAACCTGCATTATTTGAGACATCATTATTGCTGCTCCTATTAACAAAATCGTTTTCGCTTACTCTACTGCCACACTTAATTCTACAACTCTTGTATGTCACTGCGTTGTTGGGATTTGTACCAGCACTTCCATTATATATATATATAAACGTATATATATATATATATAAACGTATATATATATAAACGTATATATATATATATATATATATATATATACATACATACGTTTATATTTATAATTTGTTTTTTTAATGTTAGCATTTTTTTAATGTTAGCATTATTTATGGATACGTTTTACAAATATATCGCAAGTTATCTCATCAAGAGACATGGTTTTATTAAAAAAATAATATTAGAATTTATCCACATTTTGTCAATCTTCTTCTTCTTATTATTATTATTATTGTTATTTATCATTATTATTATCATTATTATTATTATAGTTATTATTATTAAAGTTATTATTATTAAAGTTATTATTATTATTATTATTATTATTATGTGCCAGTAAATCATTTATGACCGTTTGACAATGACGCCAAAAACTTATTTCCAGTCAGCATGGATGTTTAATTGTAAGCTGAGCTGAGTTGAGAGTGACCAATCAAACGTTCAAGAAAGGAACGTTTTTTTTGTTACTGAACAAGTGGAAAGTTTCAAGAGTGGAGAGTTCCATCGTGAAACACGGCGGTCCGCTTTGTACGAGCATTAAATCTAGTAGAAGCTCAATCAGAAATTATGATGAAATAAAATTTTACAACTTTACTTAATGAATTGGGTGTGAAGAATGTTTGAAGAAAGCTTTTATGAAACAAATTTATTTTTCAGATCCTCGAAATTGGAGCAGCAAGCAGGTACTTCAGTGGATTTGCTGGGCTTCAGATACCTTTCACTTTGAAGGAGTTGATAGGTCAAAGTTTAACCAATCAGGTCGTGACCTCATTAATCGGAGTAGAGATGCTTTTATTAAATTGGCTCCACCTAATGTGACGGATGTTTTATGGAAACATTTGGAGTTTCTGAAAAGAGGTTGGTCGTGTTCAATTGGTAAGGTAATTTTTACTTGCTACAAATAAATATATAATAAATATGAATTTGCATTTGTTGCATATCTCAATTAAAATGACAGTGCTATTAATAGCCCAATTAAAATTTTTCACTTTGAACAAAATTAGATCCTGACCTCAGCATTGTGGAATACGTAGTAGATGATGATAAGAATTCTCTACAAATATATTTCAACGGCGATCCTGGATGTTTGGTGGATTTTGAGCCTTACGAACTCAGTCCCTGGAATATGACATATTCAAAAACCCATGACTATCATTTAAACAATTCAAAAGATGGAAACATCAACAACATTAACAATATCGATAACACCAACTGTATCAGTAACTTCAACAACATCAGTAACGTCAGTAGTGCTAATAACGCCGATAGCATTGGGAGCAGAGATGCCGGCAATAAACGTGAAATTGACGTTAATATCTCCAACCTCGTCGGTAACAACACTTTTCCAGCGGCACATGCGAAAGTTATGCGAACAAACGCTGGGGACATGAGCGACGACGCCTCTGATGATGCCACACAAACAGCCACCTGTCCTCTTAATGATATATCTTCACACTTCTACTCAAATAACCCCGCCAAGAATAAAAATTGCCTATACAGTAGAAATGAAAACAACAAGAAATTTAACAACAACAATCATAATAATAACAATAATAATAACAACAATAATAATAACAACATCAAAACAAAAAATATCAACTACATTAATGTCAACAGCAGCTCCATTAACAACGCCAACCAGAAGATTAGTAAGGAGAGCCCGGAATTCCACAACACAAACACCACAAACGCTATTAAGAATGACAATAACATGAACAATAACATTGACTCCAGTACCGAAAACAATGGCGCCAATGACAATAGCAACACCAACATTAGCCACAGCAGCATCAACAACAACATCGACGACATTAACATCATCAAAATTAAAGATTCCACCGACAGTAATAACATCAACGACATTAAAAATGGCAGCTACTTCAGCAGCAGCAGCAACAGCATCAGCGGTGGCGACATTAGCAACATCAACCACAACAACTTCAACGTAAACATCAACGAAGCAGTGCAGCACAACGACTCGAATCATCAACAACTGACCAGCAAAAACTTTTGCGACATTTCGTTATGCAGCTCCATGCTACCATCGCCCTCCTTACTCTTCCACTCGTCACCCATTGACCGCATCGACGATGACAACAATGACATCAAAATAGAACAGAAAAATAACAAGTTTATTAATGTCAGCAATGATTATGATGTTCTCTGTTGTGATGCAGCTCCTGGCTACGTATCAGACAGCTACAGTGGCCAGCAAGCCTACTTCGACAACAACATTCCGCACGGTTAGTGACAACGCACCAGCATACAAACTGACACAACTTTTTGAAATAATGTAGCTAACATAACAAATTTATTTTCAATTTCTAGTTGAATGTTCCTAATGTTTCCAAATGATTTTGCAAATATTTGATGAAAAGTTGTGCGTGTAGAGACGAACATGTTGAATCAGTTTAAAGTAGAATAATATCGGAAGTTTGAAGAGGTTTGGAAAAATATATAAGCAAAAAATTGATTCAAAGAAAGAAATGGTACAACTAAAATTATTAAAGATGACTTAAAAGTAATTATGACCCTTTATTTTTCCAACATACTTACAAATGTTTAAACAATTTAAAAACTTTCGATATAAATTAAAAGCTGAATGAGAAGAATTTTGAATGTCTCTCTAGATTTAAAGAATAATTAAAATTAAAAATGTAGTTGGTGATAAGGTTGAAGTTAGGAAGGCAATTAAAAGTTCACATTGGAAAGGAGGTAGGGTGGGCTGGTTGATGGAAAAAGTAAGTTGAAGATTGTGGTTCGTTTGACGGTTTGATGAAGAAATTGATAAATAGATAGATAGTGTGTTCACAAATTGGTGATGCCGATTGTACATTGTAATAAACTTTATTAAAACTACGGCACTTTTGCGAAACTGAAAATCTCGATAAGAATGATTGCATGTAAGGCAGAACATCATTCCATTACCTTCTCTGCTGTTTCGTGTTAACATGTTTCAACGAAAGTGGCATGCATTAGAACAGAGGACGGACATGGAAAAAGAACGAAACATGCAAAAGTTTGCTTCGACAGAAATTCAGTGGTGACCTGAACTGAACATGTTCGCAGTAAACGGTCATCCATACATTCATACATACGTGCCAATAGACTAAGTGCACATTCGTAGCGCAATAAATCTTCATTCAAACGTTACGTTCACCATCTTCGTTCTATTTTTGTTATTGCACCAATTAAAATCGCTTCATTGAACACTTCAGAATATTTTATTGCTGATGATGATGTTGTTTGTCTGCTAGTTTGGGGTGTTGTCTGTTGTTGTCGGTTCTGTTGATGAGGGTGATGTTTTTCATGGTGTTGGTGATGATGATGTTGTTCAGGGTGTTGGTGATGATGATGATTATGATTGTGTTGTTGTTGTTGTTGATGATGATAATGTTGTTGTTGATGATGATGATGTTGATGATGATGATGTTGTTGTTGTTGTTGTTGATGATGATGTTGCGATGCGTAGCTTCGAGTGATTTTTTTATTTTGAACAAATATAATGTTTTGAGCATTTTTTGTACGCATATAAAAAAAGGTGTTGTGCGGTTAGTGATGCAACAATGCGTGTCGTGTATGTCAGTGTGTGCGTCGTGCTGCGTGTTGTACGTCCTTTGTATGTTGGTTGCAAGTTGCATGGTTGCAAGTTGCATGGCTGCAAGTTGTATGGTAGAAAGTTGTATGGTTGCGCGATGTTTTGTTCTGTGTTGTGCTTATAAACTCACAATTACATATTTTTTACGTTAAGTGTTTTAGATAAAATTGGCCGAGAGCAAATGTACCTTGTCCTTATTTGCGACATAATCGCGACCATCACCCAAGTTCAATTCTTAAACTTGTGTCTCTTTGATTTGCTTGGATAATTCTTCATCTTTTTACGCATTATCTTTTTAAACTTGTAGTAAACGTTAAATTAAACATTAAGAAACCTAAAAAGGTCCGTTTTAATTCTAATATATCTGTTTGATATCTGATATTCTACATGCGATGACCTATCATATATATATATATATATATATATATATATGTGTGTGTGTGTGTGTGTGTGTGTGTGTGAGTGTGTGTGTTTGTGTGTGTGTGTGTTAAGAGGCAGTTTGTCTTCTTGAATACATATTTTGTGCAATATATGCATGTTTATGAATGAATGGATAAATGTTCGAATGAAGAAACGAATGAATGTCTGAATAGATGACTGAATGAATTAATTTCGTTGGATTATGTGTCAAGTTTATCACGCGTCATTTGTTATGTTATGTTTTTGAAACTTGTGTTATCGAACACACACACACCACACACACACACCACACACACCACACACAGAACACACACAGAAAACACAGAACACACACACACAGAACACACACATACACAGAACACACACACACACACAGAACACATTTGTCGTGTGTAAACCTGTTTTTGTGAGCGTGATGCTTAATAGGTGAGTATGTTAAGTTGAGTTAAATTGTCATTCATACGCGTGTAATTGTTTAGAAATACGGTTAGGTTTTGAATTTATATGCTATTGTCATTGAAATGACCATCATCACTCCAAGAACGTTTGCCTGATATAACAAAGGATTCGCTGAATTATGTTGCCAACATTATTTCATAATTATTCTGT